ACTAATCTCCGAACAAACGCGCGTTTTCACCTTTTGGCCATAGATAAATAAGGATAAATAGATTGCTATGCCTGGCGATTTGACGTTACTTAGATTTAAATTTGAATTTATGAAATAGATTTGTAGCACATATATAAAATGTAAATTGAGAACACTAGTACCATCTGGTTTTATAAATTCACACTACTCTAGGCCACAACCATGGGAGTTTATCTCCGAACAAACGCGCGTTTTCACTTTTTTGGCCATAGATAAATAAGCAAAATAGATCTCTATGACTTTCGATTTGACGTTACCTTGATTAAAATTTGAATTTATGATAATAGATTTGCAGCACATGTTTAAAATATAAATTGAGAAAACACTTGTACCATCTGGTTTTATAAATTCACATAAGATTAGATTGAAATCTCATATTGTTGATTGCAAAACAATTTAATTTATTTATACCATACCTAATATTTTAATGTATTTTGATTGAGAGTTAGTGTTTCTTCAAATAAAGTTGCAAAATGTTATGACAATTTCATTTGATGAAGAACTTTCCATACTAATATTGACAAAAGCCAGCGGAGTCAGGCGAATTTCTGTTTTTTTTTTTTTCTTTTTAAAAATAAAAAATTATTTAAAAATAGAAAAAAATGGAATTTGTGATAATCCTAGCTATAGATAGGTCTATAAACAAGACTCTCTGAACATTTCAAGTGAATCGGTCGATTTAAAACTTTGGTACTGAAAAATTCTGTTCTGGAAAAACGCATTTATGCCTATCTATCTCCGAAAAATAATTCAAATTTTTAAAAAAACCTTCCCGTACCTATATTCTTAGATAGTTAAACTTTGAACATATGACATAAAAAGATCGATTTTTTTGAATTTCTACACTAGAATTTCCCCTTAAGGCAGAAATATTGAAAAATACAAATTTATTAAAAAATTAATTAAAGAGAATGCCTCCATCATAAATGAATCCTAGGAATTTAGTTTTCCTCTCAGTTTTGATATTAATATATATTTAATTTTTAAGATCTATTAATTTGTTATTTATTCGTCAGACTCCTATGCTTTTTCTTCTTAGTTTCAAAGTTTCTAATATTTATAATTAAGTCATTGAGTAAATAACATTAGTCGGTCATTTATGCATAATTGTGGAAATATATTAATTAATATTTATCATAAAATCAGTTATAATTTTCATTATTTTATAAAAATATGTTTGTAATATATTTGAAAATGTATCTTTTGCATGTTTTGATTTTATTTGCAATATTAAAAATTATGCAGATTTTGTTTACTGTACTACTCATACAACCTTCCAAGATGTAGTTCTAGGGGTTTCAATTCACATTTTATACCTGTGCTGCCCTTTATTTTCCTCCTAAATTGAAATCTAATCAAGTTAGTTTTTCTATGATTATTGTTAAGAAAAAAAATTCAATAAATGCAAGCCTGAAATATAGAAAAATACAAATTTTAATATATAAGTTAAGATTCATTTTAATTGAATGGTTGAAATAAAATCAGTTATAACAGAGCTTTTTTTTTATTAAAACAGTTTAATTTACAATGGTGAAATAATGAAAAAAAATATGAATCATAGTCTGTTACTCGACTCCTCCTCTCCAACAATAATAGTTTTTAAATTTACAAATCTCGAAAGTCAATGTTTTTTTTCCTGGTCATTGTTTGGGGCTGCAATTTTTTTGGTGGGTGATGAACTCAAAAAATAAAAAATGAGTATAAAATTATTTACTTATTCTAATAATAAAATATTTTTATCATTAAATTTTTTCAATAAGAACTATTCCAAAATTTAGACAAAGCCATTAATCTTAAAAATATTAACTGCATTTCTTTACTTATTTAATTTTACAATTAAGTATTTTTGAAAAATAAACCACTTACTTGTTCTGCTTACATGCTGCACACTGGATCATATTAAAATACACTTATTACTTCACTTCACTACTTATTTCACTATTTATTTCACTACTTATTTCACTTTTCACTTCAATGTTTACCTTCGAAATCTGAAACACTAATGAGCCCTTTGTCAATTAGCCCCGCCTTTATACCCGGATCCAAGATGGCGGACCCCCTGAAATAAGAAATTTCGATTTAATTAAATCAAATATAGGTGAAAAAAAACTGTTTTTGCCACGATAAATATGCTAATAAAATTAAAAACATTGCTCAGTACTCACTATTTGTTCAAAAATTAAAAATTACATGGGCAAGGTAACGGATTAATCATGGGCATTTATGGATTTTAGACGCCAATTTCGGGTAAAACATGAAATATGTATTTTTTATTGCTGTATGAGTTGGCAGTCACAAATTGTTATAAAATTATGTCTTTGGTGTGTTATTACAATTTTTACAATTTTGCAAAACATAACCCTAAAATGTCATAAACGTCAAAATAACACTTTTGTTATAAGTGCTTTTTTTGCTGTATTTTGCTGCATGTACGTAAATTCTGAATGAATTTAATATTCTCGTATGATAATTAATGTAGAAAATTCTAAAATAAATGTATTTGTTGCTAAAATGGGCTTGTACAAGTTCTAGTGTTGTTTGTGAGGTTATCTGGCTGTACAAGCGTTCCTATGAAATAAATCATAGACTTATTGTCTTCTAAACATATATTTTTTTATATTATTACACTGCTGATGAATCCATAAACACAAATTCTTTGTTATTCTTACAGATCTCGCAGACAGTTGTACTTGCTTATCGGCTGGGTCACAAGTTTCAAGAACTAATCTAGGCTATCTGGTCCATCGTTAAAATTATGGGTCAATTATAGTGATACAGAGAAGGCTCATTCTAAAGCAAGTTGAAGCGCATGCAATATGTACCAAATTAGATGTTACACCTAATCACACTGGTTACACAAGATCTGCGAGAGACAAAAAAACATCCAAGGGGTGTGTCCATTAATCACGTGTTCGATTTTTAAGGATTCTGGGACCTCGGTGATACATGGTGATATTCAAATTACCCTTCCTCTCCCCAACAAATATCACATGTATTTTTAGTTATGAGAAAAATTGTTGTTTTGAACCTTACTCAATCAAGCTTCTAGCGAGGTGATCATGGCACGCTAGGCTAGATAGTGTACTTATATTATGAAGTCGACTCTAGACAAAGAAAGAATTCTACTGAGCTCGATCCTGAAAAGTAAAGGAAACTAGCCTGGGCCCCTTCTGCAAAACGAGTACCTCCTACACGAAGGACTGAAAATAGAAGGACCGAAAGGATTGGGAAGAAGAAGAATGCAGATAGAAAAAATACAGGGAACTGAAAGTCAAAGCACAGACACAGAAATTTGTGTATAAAATGGGAAAAAGGTAAGAGAATTATTTAGACATGGTTGTCTCATACCATGTACTGCATTCAAGCAAAATACTATATATATTATTATTATTATTATTATATTATTAAGAGATTTGAAATCCTAACATTTAATATAATTTATACATTTTTTATACTGAATTTATAATTAATTTATTATTCAGGCTTTAGTTGAGGATTTGTGCAGATATTTGGATTACTTAAAACGGCTAAACCGATTTGGCCAGTCTTAGTCTTGAAAAATTTGTGCCAATCCAGAGGTGGTCGGAAAGGTGAGATATTATTTCAAAATCGCGTAGAAACTTTACATTTTTAATTTGAAAATTTTTGTAGAAGTGTACCCCTATTTATAACCTATGCGGTAAGGGCGAAAGGAAACGAAAAAAAAAAACGAACGAACAATATTAACTAATAACATACGTCATTTTCGAGCATTGTGATTGGTCGCAGAACAACATTCTACAAATTTGTTAATATACTCGAATTAATATATGAAATTTATTTCCTCAGTAACAAGGACGAAATATACGAGAGAAGTTTATCAGCAGCAAAAATATTTATTTTAGGAGGGCCCCGAGAGAAATTTTCCGAAAAAGAAATTGAACACATAAAAGTAAATATTACAATCACTAAATAAATACTTTTGTGTATTAATTTATTATCCAATTCCAGAATTATATCAACAATGGTGGTTCAGCTTTAATCGATAAGAATTGATTTGCGAGCACATTTTCGACATTTATTTAAATTGTGCAAAACTTGTTCAAGCACATACATTTTATTTTACATGTATGAAAAGCTTATAAAATTTCTACATAAATGCATATAACGATTTTCAACCTTTGGAACGACGAAAAAAGTCGTCAAAAGTTTAATAAAATTGCAATCATAAATGAAAATGGTTATACATTTTCTCACATTTGTTTGAATTGCGCAAAAACTTGTTTTACAGCACATAAACTTTGTTTTATAAAGATAAAAAGCTCATACAATTCTCTACACAACTGCATTTTACCAATTTTCAAATTTTAGAACCATACTATATGGGTCCACCCTAATATAATATATATATATATATATATATATAAACAATGTGATTTTATTTGTTTCAGGCGTATATGAATAAAAACATAACAATAATACCATCAGCAATGTATTCTGTTAAGAAATGTTGGACTTGAGAAAAGTTGTGTGTACACATTGTTAACTATGAAGATCAGACAGCTGCACAAGCTTTGTACCATTTGATCAAATTGGTTAAACCGACCGATTCGTCTAAAAAGTTCTACCAAAGGTGAAAGTTTTAAATGAAACTTATGGACGGTTATGTAGAAGACCAAAAGTATTCCCAAGACTGTCTGAGACTTCAATACATTGTAATGATGATCAGAAGGAGTACAAAGTGTTGTTTGTTAAATGAAATTGCTGAAGAGAAAACTGTTGAACAGTAAGAAAGAAGATGTCAAAGTACCAGACGTCCTGGTAAAAAATCAGCAGCACGAGTGATTTCAATTTTAGATTCCCTTACATCATACTTCAACCACAAAACCTGGACCAAACGATCCTACATATCACCATCAAATGATATCCTTTCAACAAGTAAACCTGAAGAAGTCCTTTTAATCGTCAAAAGATTGTTAAAGCCAACAACAAAAAGGCTGCAGATAATTTAGCAGCTTTAGCAATTGCAGCTTTGGAGCCTTTTCAAAAAATACATTTGTTTACAAAGCTTAAATTGCAATTCATGGATGATAATTTTATCGATCCTGTAGAGATGAGTAAAAATTTATACAGGTTTCATATACAGCACCATTTCGATTGTATAAAAAAATTGAAGGAAGAGATGGGTAAAATTGGCGGTAAGAGGAAAAGAACTGGGTAGTAGATATATGTTTATTTATTTATTTATTTATTGAGATTGTAAAAAAGTGTTTGAAAGATTTCTATTATATTGTAGTATACAGTGCAAATATTTTATATATGTATAAATTTTATATATTTTATATGTGCAGTAATATAAAAATATTGATGAAAGTAATAAAGAATAATTACAACATTATTAATGATGCTGAAGGGTTTTTGAATTAAATTAAATTTATTTATAATATATATATATATATATATATATATATTTGTAGATGTATATTTTTAAAAATAGAATACACACAAATATTGAAAATTATTTATTGGTTTTATTATTATTATAACAACTATGTTACCAGTCTATAAATATATATTTTATAACCTACTTATGTTTAATTTTTGGGTAAAAATAATTAAAATAAATTATTCAGTCTGTGCTGAGACTTGCTTGGACAAGTTTCTTAATAATAATAATAAATTTACATATCACAAATTTAAATAGATTTAAAGTTAAAGTGTGTTGAAATTGAATTATTTTCTTATTAGAAATATATTTTTAGGATAAATATTAGAACTGGCATAATAGAAGTTCTTGCCAGTTTTTTTTTTTTAAATATATGTCATACAGCTTGATATCAAGCTGGCCGATGTTGAAATCTAACTGATTTGTGCAACCCGAAGTTCTTAACACTTATTCAAGCACCAATCTCATTTCTTCTTATTATAATATTTATTAAATTTTTGCGAAATACTTATAAGATAAGCTTTTTTATACAGCAAATAAAATTTGGAATTCCATAATCTGTTCTGATAATTAATATTTTCATTCCAAAGAGTATCCTATTGCATTTTTAAAATATTTTTATTTTAAGACAACCCCATGGTTGTTCTATACTAACTGTGATGAAGTTTAACATTTCATTTGGGAACATATTTATGATCAATAATTTCAAACAAAAATGGATATCTCTACTGTTTGATACTAAGTTACTCCTAACGCTGGATTTTTAACTCGGGAACTTGTGATTGCCAAGCATTTCACTTACATCATTTAAATTGCAAAGATATTTTCAGAAATTAGGATAATTTAAAAAAATTACCATATTTTTTATGTTTTTCCAAAAATTATAACAACGTAAGTATATTTGTCAATAGTATTTTGTAATGGATTAAGTAATTAATTTATTACGTTGCGCTGAAAATAAAATCTCGTCCCAAGAATTGTTTGAATTTTCTAAATTCTCTCTCGCATTTCTCATTACATATTGAATATTCAATAATGATGAATATTTATAACAATAGATGGATGTTCACTTCATCAAACAATATTTCCAATAACCGTTCAATAGATTCTTGATGATTTTCTTGATTATAATTTGTAATGAATTCGCGTTATTAAGGAATGTGCAATGACGCAAAAAGTGATAAATTCCAAGATTTTTGCGTTTTCTCCATAACATAGTATAAAGTAGTTGTAAGACACTATAAAGATATACCAAGAGATCTAAAAAAACAGCTCTTTAAATTTATTTACTTCACAAATTCATTTGAGACAAACTGAAAGATCAAACAACACATTTTGTTAGACTGATGTTCATTTTTGGTTATTTTGGCAAATTCTGATACGATCAAAAGATTAGTAATTAAGTTCAGTAAAAGTTTGCAGTTACCTCAAAATATGTTTGTAAATTACTACTTTATTTATTTCTTATTTTGACTTTCTTGAATTTTTAAAATGTTTGATTTGGAAGTCGATCCCCATGGAATATTACCAATTGATCACCCAAGTCAATATCCAATACTAAGTTTAGCGAACTCCATATTTTCCCCGAATTTGAATTACTCGAATAATTCATAGCAATTTTCCAATATTATGTCAACATTTACATTACAAATTATTAAAATGATTCTGTACCCAATATTGAAAAAAAATGAAAAAAAATCTTAAGTCATCGCACGCGATATCGCCATCGGTTTCACTTTCAGAACGTACTTCCCGGAACTAGCAAATTACTCGGACGACAGTGTATAATAAAAAAGTAAACATTGACACTTAGAATCTCTTGCAAATCGAGTATTCAATAATAATATTACTATTAATATGACACTTGTTCGATACGAATCATTAATTTCCGAAGATAAGTCATTACTGACACCTTTTCCATGGTACGTGCTTGGCATTCTGATGAGGACGGTTGAGTAGTTGACCTACATGGAAATTGGAATTTGTTTGACAATAGACTGAGGATTACTAAAACGCATTTAAAAGCATTGTTATCGAATTGCAGTAAATTTCTGACATTTTCATGAAAACTGTTTATTATATATTTGAAGAACAACTTGAACTATGTGTTCTTCTTATTCTGGTGTTTCTAGAAGGCGATCCAGTAGTTGCCCATTTTTAGTTATAGCAAAAAGCTAAATTTTTTCCATGTCTCTTAATTTAAGTGAGTTGTTGACAATGTTTCACAGATAAATAGTACACGAACAAGGCAGAAACTTTCATTAGTGTTAATCAAATAAGCATTCATTGGTCATGCGTTAACAATAATAGGTGACCATACATTTTTAAGCACAGGTAGGCACTTTTACTCTTAAAATCATACGAATTATAACTTGTAACTAAGGAGATATGTTATAGTAATGTTATGTTATGGGTCTATCTTCGTATGAGTTGGTAGTAATCAACTGTCTAAAACTTGCGATCAGACGTTTCACAAATAAAATCTAACTTCACGTATGTGCTTTCCAGGAGACACCAGAGATCTGCACTTATGATAAAATTGTTATTTAACGTTTGTGCGATTTGTAGAATAAGTTTTATGTTAAAATATAGCATTACCATAATATGCCTATTTTATCCGAGAATAGGCCACTAAATTACACATCAACTTGATATAATTCTCTTATTATTTACAACACAGTAATCGTAAAATAATCGACTATAGTAATCGTAAAATAATCGAAAACGATAGTTTTTATATATCTACACGTTTCGAGAGTTTCTGAACGTTTTGGCATACCATAGAAGACATTGAAGTATGTGTGCATGTGTGTGTGAATACAAATTTTCGTCAATTCAAGAACAAGGATCAAGCATTTTTGCATAAATCAAAAACCATTTGATTTGTAAAAAAGTTATAATTTTCAAAAAATTAGTAATAAATTTCACATTTATGACAACAAGGCTTATTTTTTCACGAATTTTATTTTCGACACGGAAAGTTACAGCAATTTGCTTTAAGGTACTTTAAGTTTATAAATATTTGTGTATCAATTTTAGGATTTATTCATGAATTTCAAATATGAAAAGAGAAATATATTAAATGTGTTTATGAATATCTAGTTCAGCCCTGTTTTTTCGAGTGCACAGTGAAACTGGTCATCACTTTCTAACGAGTTCGTTAAAAATAATTTCGAGGCGCACAGTACGCACTTTTGCATTTATAATTGTCTGCCAAATTAATACCATGACTATTATAAAATTTATATTTTAAAAAATAAGTTCACAAAAATTGGGTTTGACGTTGAGTTCTGGGACATCCAGATTCAAAAATTCAAACTTAAATAGCAAATGGATTGTATTTGCTTGACAAATGGATTTCATGAGTTTCATCTTGTTCAAATTTTTATAATTCAATTACTAGTTGTATAACATTAATTTGTATGAAAGACTTGCAGAAAATAGATCTAGCTACAAAAATCTTTTTTATTGTAGCTATTGCAATAGCTAGTTTAGA